CCCCCCCCCCCCCCCCCGCCCCCCCCCCCCCCCCCCCCCCCCGCCCCCCCCCCCCCCCCCCCCCCCCCCCCCCCCCAAGATTCGCGAGGCAGCGTACGTTATCACGAGCCTAGCCTGACCGACAGCACCCTGGCAGAGTGGCAGTTACGTCGCTCGGGCAGCCCTGGGGCATAAGTGGGGCATTCCAGCTGCCCGTTGCACCAGCCACATGGCTGACCTTATAGCTGCGCCTCGTTTTGCTTCCAATCTTGCGCCTGCAGAAAGGGTAGCTTTAAACGGGAGCCTGGACGGCAACGTCACCATTGCTGACGCAAGTGATCTTACCGTATTTATGGTATTCAGATCGAACTGCTCGTTAGAATCGCTTCAAGGCAACAGTCTAAGGACATGGAAGCCTACAGGTATGGCCCGTTTGCTGCTCAGCAGCCCATTCAGGCTACCCTAGTCCACACTCTGTTGGTCAGGCTTCAACCGAATGATGCCTGTTTCAAGGCACTTAATCGAGCTTGCCCGTGTCTAATATCTCGTGCTTGTCAGGTGTTAGTCCCAATAGTAGATGCAATGCTCGTACAGACAGCCAACGCATTGCAGCAAGTGCAGCAAGTGCAGGCCAACAATGTGGTTCGTCATCAAACCATAGCTTCGTACAGTTTCGAGACCATTGGCACGTGAAACAGCGTTCGTTCTCCCGCCGCCCTACGATTAGCCCACTACCAGTCTACACACTGCCGGGCACTGTTGTCTGTTATCAGAATGAATGACCTGGAACGGTTTTCTAGCCTTCGACATATCTGAACAGAATAGCCTGCACACTATTGATCTTGGAGAAGGGCCTGGCAACTGCGTTGTTGCCCATGTGAGCGCTGGGTCCTGACGCACCTGACACTTTGGGCATTGAAGACCCGCCGAGGCGTTATAGTCAACCAATCATCACGGGCCATGTCCCTCTCCGGGATGCAGCACCACTGGGGGAAAGATAAGATCACGCATGAGTGCTGAACAGTCCACTGTATCATCAGTCAACAATACCAAGCAAAAGTAAACCAAGAGACAAAGAAACACTCATGCCCGATAGACCACGCAGGGTTGAGAATTGTCGTAGAGGCAGACAATTGAAAACTGTTGCAGTTTAGGAGAGGGCCTACTAACACCGGTACGTACTTGCTTCATGACTGCCAGTGTCTGACGACACGGTTGGACCCACCGTAACTCACTAGGCTGACCTGCCCAGACTGACCTTCATCATCCAGTCCAGCTTCCGGCTTACAGAGCGACTGATTGTGACATACTTCCAACCGTCACAAGCTACCTCACGAGAACATATCAACACACAGCAAACCTTACATCGCCCCGTACGCCCTGGCACTCTCGAGAATCAACGAATACTGCGAGAAGCCTCCGCCTGCCCACGACCTATGCTCGATTACCGGCCGCATCCGAACGCTTGCCCGTCCGCTGCAACCGCACAAGGTCGGATCAGCCACCTATCCCAACTCGCCAACGATTAGTCCGCGGTGTAACGCCGCGGAGAGAACGACCTGGAGCCAAACGACAACCCCAGATACTACCCTTCCTCGCAACCCGCTGCCGAGCTTGCTGAACCCGGGGAGCCTCTGTCGAGCGAGAGTGTCCCGATCCCGCCCAGCACCCGCCTCCCAACGAACCGAGCTGCAACCGCGAACATAGCATCTTCCACCGGTCAAGGCGCTCCTGACGTGACCCAGCCTTCGCGGCAGGTCGCCGGGCTTAGACGACGACGAGCACCCGACGACGAGGGCGACCATCACGGCACCGAGGATTCCCGCCCAGGCAGCCCTTCCAAGCGTCGCCGCCATTCCAAGGATCGGACAGACGCCATGCTGGGCGATGACGATGTAGCGGTGCCGGCTAATGGCGACTTTGCGGCGCATCCCCGACCGCGGGCGACTAAGGGTATCCTTAACGGCTCCGGGTCAGCAAACACAACGCTGAATGGCGCCTCCGCCGCCGCCGCCACCAGCTCTAACGGCGTCAGTGGGGGGCTGGATCGTCACCACAGGCCTAGAAAGTACCACGGTCACGATGCGGAAGAGGTCACGCGGCTCATCATCCAGGCCCTGGATGACATGGGGTACACAGAGGCGGCCGCCGACGTCAGCAGAACCAGCGGCTTCCAGCTGGAGAGCCCCACTGTTTCAAACCTCAAGAGCGCCATTATGGACGGACTCTGGGATGAGGCTGACGAGCTGCTGGAAGGTGCGCTGCTGGAAGGTGCCGTAGACACCGATGGGGCTGGCGGTGACGGGAATGGACTGGTCCTCGCGAAAGGCGCTGACCGCAAGACGATGAGGTTCCGCCTCAAGAAGCAGAAATATCTCGAGCTTCTCGAAGCTGGAGACACGCCCGGGGCCTTGCATGTCCTTCGCTCTGAGCTGACACCCTTGTCCAGCAACATTGCTACTACAAACTTCTTATCGAGCCTGCTTTTGACCACGTCGGCAGACGAAGTGAAGAGCAGGGCTCAGTGGGACGGTGCTAAGGGCACGTCGCGGAGCGAGCTACTCTCCAACATTTGCAGTAAGTTTGTTTTGAGCTCCTCCCAGGCTACCGTGCGTTAACCCCCTACCAGAAAGCATATCTCCTTCCGTGATGCTACCCGAGGGCCGTCTAGGACAGGTCTTGCAGTCTTTCAAGCGCCAGCAGCTTGATTCGTGCCTGTTCCACACGGATCCCAATACACCAACCCTTTATCACAACCATTCCTGCCCACCGGAGCGTTTCCCACGTCACATTGCTTTGGACTTGCATGACCTGGACGGTGAAGCCTGGCACGTGAAATGGTCTCCTGATGGAAAGTCATTGGCGGCCTGCGGCCAGCGAAAGGTGGTTGTGTGGGATCAAGACTTCAATGCTGTCTTGACCGTGGACACCAGAGACTTTGCTCGAGAGGCAGCGAGAGGCAACGAAGGCGTCGGCAACATTGCCTGGAGCCCCGACAGCAGTAAGATAGCCATTTGCTTACAGGACAAGTACCTGCGTGTCTACAGATTGGCGGTGAGTCCTGCCTTCGTACTGGCTGGAGTGTGGGAGGCTGACGAGCCGCAGGATGGCGTTTCCATCCTCCAGACCAGGAGGTACAATGAGCCAGTCAGCAGTTGTGTCTGGTCGCTCGATGGCAAGTCCCTTGTGGTGGGCACTCTGGATCCCGCCGCTAGTATCGTTACCGTGGAACTGGAGGGTTCCCGCGAAACCAACTGGAACCGGCGCGACCTTCGCGTCCAAGACATGTGCGGCTCGCCTGATGGACGCTGGATCGTTGCTATGGATGACAAGCGCAGCATACACGTGTTCAACGCCACGACTCGAGAGCAAGACTACCAGCTGGATCTTAAAGGCCGCCCGGGCTCGGTCTGTGTCTGTGCGGACTCGAGACATCTCCTGGTGAATATGACTGGCGGGGGGGAGGCCCAGCTCATCGACCTGTACACCAGCACGGTCGTGCAGAAGTACAAAGGACACACGCTCGCCGACGAATATATAGTGCGGTGCACGCTCGGCGGTGCGCACGAGAGTTTCGTCTTGAGCGGTAGCGAGGACGGATACGTATACATCTGGCACAAGGAACTCGGGGAGCTCGTCGAGACCATTCCTGGCCACGCGAAGCGGAGCAACTCTGTGGCGTGGAAGCCTGACGACCCGAGCATGTTCGCATCATGCAGTGACGACGGGAGGGTCAAGATGTGAGTTTGGTCTCTGCACTGGTTGTTGGTCCGGTAACTAACATGAATATCTAGTTGGGCGGATGCGACCCGGGCAGCGGCCCTCCGACAAGGCGAGCCCTACAGCGGGATACCTCGACCAGAGACCTAGGGGCTCCATGGTCAGAACATCGGCCTTGCTCGACGGACATGGACCGCGGAATGTGGAATCCGACCCAGCACTTGACTCGTCTGCTGAAGGAAGGACGGATGGACAGCCTCGAAGCCCACCCAGGACGGCGGACTGGCACAATTTGGACAAGGCGCAAGCAGAGCGAGTATTGTATCAGGTATACAGGGCATTCACCGATGGCGTTTATTATGGCTGGTAGGGCTTGCTTGGGATTGATCACGGCGTTGGACTGGGTCTCGTCATATCTGTTTAGACTGGTAACATGCGTAACTCACAGAGAGAGGGACATACTGCTCCACGCACGCAGTGGACAGCACCCCTCGGACTCACAATGCAAGCATGGTTTTTTTTTATACACGTTTCTCGGCGCTTGAAGAATTGCCGAGCATGTAACGGGTATGCCACTGTGCAAGATGTCAAGAGAATTGGTAGGTATTGCGGCTGCAGCACTGGACCAGGGCGACGTCGGCGGCTGCCACCATACCGATGGCGAGCGTATTATCGGCAGGCACTATCATCTAGGGGGCAATAATACCTGATACTGAGCCTTCGGCTACAACACGAACCGAAGCATGCCAAGGGCTGGAAGCAGCCACACGTGACGGCTTGCAGCAGCACGGCAGCAGAAGGCCTGGAAACATTAATTAGGGACGGGGTCTGCATGCCTCTCTTTCATGAAGCGCTGGCGATCTTGGAAAAGTGGCTTGCGAGCATCCACCAAGCTTGATAATGAATCCCCTCAAGTTCGACCAAAAGGGGCAGCAGGGGGCGCAGCTTCAGTGGATTTGAGGTCATCCTTGGCCAACATCCATTTCAACAAGTGACTCGATGGCTCTACCCTCAGGCTTTGCTTCAGCCAGTCTCCAAGCTCAACGCTTGTAACACCAAACAGCGATTGTCAATGAGAACCTCTTTAGTTGCTACCGGCGCGGTTCATCATTGCTTCTTGGAAAAGATCGGGGAGATTATGTGCAACAGTAGATCGTGGCCGAGTTGGGATTCACCCACATGTTGCTCGCACAACATGGAGGCTTTTAACCGCAAACCACGCATGCCTGCCCGAGCCATGATCCATGATGATAAGGAGATCGTGTGGGGAATACTACTGCGCATGCATGATGCTGTACGTATGTCCACCAGATCGCGCGAGGAGGGGCTGGGTGGGGGGGGGGGCCAAGAGTCATGACCCCTGAGGGGGCATCGCGCAGTGCAGCACAAGCCTAACAAATATTGGCTTGGAATTGGGAGAAGCAGGGAATGAGTTGGAGCCCAGAAAATACTATTGACCGTTAATCTTGGTTGCAAGTTGCCTTTTAGGACTGGGCGCACCTGGACTAGTAACTTCACGTTGCTGGATGAGGCACATCTGGCGCAGCACCAGCGCCCCTCACACACCACTTATGATTCATGAAGAGGGCAAATATAATACCGCTGCGGACCCGAAATCGAATTGACCGTATGACTCTGGGACGGACCGCGATAGACGCGGCGGGCCGTCCATTTCGGGCAGATTGTTCCAAGTTAGCGTGATATGATTGTCGACGGGTGGCTGCTAGGGGTTCACTCTCCTGATGCATTCTTTCATGGTTGATTTAATATTGTACAACTCACGTCTTCCTAGCCTTCAAAAAGAGCAATTGACTAGTACACACGCACTGACCAGCTCTTGCGTCGCTCATCCAATTACCTAAAAGGCATTAGGCATTGGAGATGGTTCGGTAAGGCACTCTGCGGACTATTAGTTCAACAGGTGGGGAAGACCAAGCTTGCCCCTGAATTCCTTGGAACGAAGATGGAAATCGCGAATGTATCTAAGGTACGCAAGTTAGCTCTCCAGTCCTTTGCGGGCAGCAGTGCATTTCTCCCCCACCACCCCATCTATTAGACCCCGATTCTGAAAGGTCTGGGCTGCACTCGAGAGGAAATGGAAATCGGTCATTTCGTTCCAGACGCCACGAAGCCGCTAGGCCGGCTGCTAGGCTTTAACTTAGCTGATCAGCTGCCAGCATGTGCTCGAAAAAGCAACAACAAAGTCCTAGGCCTCTTGTTGATCAACAGCTCACCCACACCTCCATACAGAGTCAATGACCCTCACAGACGAGTGCTTGCGGTGAACTGTTTCACAGATACGGTTGGTCCACCACCCACCCTCAGGCTTCGGCGCGGGTGAACCAATTCCGGTGGTCAGTCCGCCCGTCTGGTGGCTCACCGCTGCATCGGACCCCAAAAAACGATCCCTCCCGGCCGGACACGACTCAGGGCCAAGACCAACGACAGTCTTGCTTCTGTGACCGTGAGTTGTGGTGGGCGGCGCGTTGGCGTCAATGGCTGGATGCCATGTCACTCTGCAGTGCTGCACCGGCGACCAGCTAGACTAGTCTAGCAGACGGCACGGATCAAATGGTGGTGTATAATTTGTGCTTGTTTCTTCTGCACTCGTGACCCAATGAAGTCGGGACGATGAGGTGCTTTAGCCTCGCAGCGTCCGTCAGGGCGACCACATGGGCGTGGCGGGTTGTTGGTTGCCTTGGGCCTTGCCTTGGGGGCAGATGCAATGGCGTCCTTGACCCGTCTGGTGCCTTGCTTTAGCGTGCGGCTTTAGAGGCCGGCCCGCAGGCTCAAAGGCCCCTTGAAGTTGAAATCGTGAATACGAAGACAAAAAAAGGTTCCCACTCATTCTAATTAGGCCGCAAGCGCAGGTTCACTGAATCGCTAGCTGGCGAGACTGAGACTTGCAAGTAATCAACGTTAGGCTAAGAGGTCGTCAGTGTGGAAAGTGTCATTCGAGGTCGGACCTCTCTGCCCTGGTAGTGCACCACGTACCTACGTACCCGATCTTCAACATTATGAAATCCATGAATGCCCCTTGTAGAATAAATAACCTGGTACCAGTGCGGAATACTACCGCCTACCATGGGCACCAGTGAGCGACGGCGTCGTGCTCGAACCGCTGTCAAACCCCGCCGCTGGCTGGGGTACATATTCCGCAGCGAGGACCTTAAAAGTGTGCTCGACCCCCATTGTGGGAGTGTCATTTGTAACTCGATCAATCCAGCATCCGTACGGGTAATCGCGCTCGATAATTATTATGACGATCACTGTCGACACGGGGCCCCGGTCTTCTGTCTTGAGGTGCTTCAAGATTTCGCTCTCGCAGAGAGTTGAGAAGTGCGCTGGCCAACCCCTGTCCCAGAATGAACAAACAACCGGAGGATGAACAAACGACGGAGGAAAATGCCCCAAGTACCGGCAGGGTTGTTATTTTCGTCAAGTCAGCACAGCACCCTGGTCTGTTAGGCCAGCTGGACTGCCCGCACGCACCTGTTTGAGGACGACGCAGGAGGGCACCAGCCCCTGCGAGGTGAGTTGGGTTGAGCCTTTGTTGAAACACGTTTGGGCCTTTCCCACAACAGGCTGACCGACTGGAGCTGTGGGATTTTGACTGGGATGCTGTAGTTTGCACAGCGTCATTGTCTGCAGGGTGCTGGGCGTCGCCGCGTCAATCTCGTCTCCTGCACAATTAGATCCACCATTCAGGGCGCCGGCGACTTCACAACTTGTGCTCCTTCACTCCCGTCGCCAACAACTCAGTCCGCTAGGTAAGGTACGTAATGTCAAGCGGAACAATTATTCATAGTCCAGGCAGCTGTGGACTTTAGACACTGCTTGCGCGAACTGGAGGGGCGAGATTAGCTACCTAGGTACTACCGGTATAATAATGCGCAGGTATTGCTACAGTGAACGGGATATCTCACCTCCTGAGCCACAACCCGAGAGGACTGGATACCCCCTGGCAAGGTGGGTGGGCCGTCCGCGGCGTATTACAGCACATTGTACCTTCACATTCGGCCACTCCAATCTCATATTGCCATATCCAATCCTCTGTCGCACAAGCTCCAGTTCCAGTTTTGACTGGTATGCCTGTGACCCAAAGAGCTCGCTGTGCGTCCGTGACAGTTGAGATAAACAGGACCGGGATCAGGGCCAGGGCTCCAGCGGCTGGTCGCACAGGTTCATCAAACACTTGACTCTCGAAAGCAACAAACCCTTGCCTGCTGAGCCGGCTGGGCCTGCAAGCCTGCAACAGCACGCTGCAGCTCAAAGTCAGTCTAGTCTAGTTCGGCACAACGACTGGAGCGAGACCCACGAGAGCATCAGCCTGTTTGCTTGGCTCAGTGCTCCATAATATCTCTCTCCTGTTCATTCAATCGTCTCCTAAATATGTGTAATTGATTAATACCTCCAAATTGCCTGCTGCGCATCGACCACTACTAGCTTACAGTACTGGCCTCCGCCTAACGCAAGGTACTGGTGATTACTTTTTACCCTTCTCATCCTTTCCATCTTCCGACCTCCAGTCGTCCGTCGTCCGTCTCGCTGCGCTGCGCCTGCCTTGCCGCCGTTTAGGTCAATCAAACATCTCCGTGGGCTTGCATCTCAAGGAAGGTGCCCTCCGTCACAAGTACTAGTACCTACTACCAAGGGTAGACGTACTTAGTACTCGAAGAATCTGGCGGCACCCACACAGACAGACAGCCATCATTCCAACGGCGACACCGACAACGCAAAGTTCGAGCGTCAGAGGGCACGGCAGGCCTGCCGCAACACTGCAACCGGTCGCAGGATCGAAACGCCAGCAAGGACAGCCACAAACATCCGATCAAGAGAACAAGAGAACGAGAGAAACGGCTCTTGAAAACTGAGCGTCACAAGCATGCTTCGCTGACTCGCGCATCACCACCGCCCCTCGCCATCCCTCTCCCGACCCGCCAGGCTCTCTCTCGCCTCAACATCGCAAACATGGACAGCCTCCAAGGATGGCTCATGGTCCCTCCGGACCGAGGGCAGATCCT